AGAGATCTGACAATATCCTGATTGCTGGCGATTTTAACATAAATCTTCTAAATTCTAATTCAACCAAACTGTCTAATCTTATAGCCTCTTACAATGCAGAACAACTTATTACTACATCAACCCACTTCTTTACAGAAAGCTCTTGCTCATTACTCGATGTAATGTTTGTAAAGAACACAAATCATATCTTAACAAGTTTTGCTGCAGACCCATTCATTCCGATGTTATTCGTTTTCATTGTCCAATCGTATCAGTAATGAAATTTTCAAAACCAAAAGGTACCACATACAAATGCAAAATATGGCTTTATGATAGGGGTGATTACTCTGGCTACAAAAATGAAATTAACTCAGCAGACTGGCAATCCTTAAAAAAACACTGAAAATTATATGGATGAAACAGTCAACCGAATAACTAGAACCATATTAGATGCCGCAGACAACAAAATTCCTAACAAAATAGTAACAATAAGACCACATGATATTCCATGGATGACCAACAAAATACGTAAACTATTAAGAAAACGCAAAAAGGCCCCCAAAAAGCAAAACAGATGAATACAGAATTATCTTGGCAACAATTTAGAACAATAAGAAATGCGGTTACCAAACAAATAAGAAAAAGTAAAAATGAATATAAAAATAAATTAATTGAACAAATAAACTCATCAAATACTTCAACGAAAAACTGGTTTAAACTGACAAAATCGTTCACACAAAAACAATCAAAAGCAGCAATCCCAGTCCTCCTTGATAACGGAATTTCTGCAAATACTGACAAAGAGAAGGTAGACCTACTAAATAATTTCTTTTGTACACAATCAAACATTGACGGTCAAAACACACAACTCCCAAATCTGAACTTGCATACAAACTCATCTCTTCCCCAAATTACAATTACAGAAGAAGATGTCAAAGATGCTTGATCGTTAATCGACCCGTCGAAAGCCTGTGGCCCAGATTTTATTCATCCCCGATTACTGAGAGAAGGATCTACTATTCTGTCTTAACCTTTGGCTGACTTTTTCAACATATTACTTTCAAAATGTACCTTTCCTACCTCCTGGAAAATAGCCAATTTCACTGCTATATTTAAAAAGAATGACCCATCTAAGCCTGCGAACTACCGACCCATTTCTCTTTTAAGCTGTATAGGTAAACTAATGGAGAGATGTATTCACAAGTACTTGTACAACTATATTATTACCAACAACCTTCTCACGTCTTATCAATCCGGTTTCATCAAAGGTGACTCCACCATTAATCAAATTACATACATATACAACGATATTTGAAAGGCTCTTGACGAAGGCTTGGAGGTTCGCGCTGTGTTTTGCGATATCTCTAAAGCATTCGACCGAGTATGGCATCGAGGTCTCTTACATAAGCTTGCCTCTATTGGAATGAACGGCTCCCTCTCTGATCGCAAACAACGCGTTGTATACGCTAATTGTTCTTCTAACTGGTCATCAATTAATGCCGGCGTACCCCATGGCTCGATCTTCGGACCTCTGCCTTTCTTGATCTAAATAAACGATATCGTTGACGATGTAAATTCGAGCGTACGACGTTTTGCAGACGACACGAGCCTTTATATCATTGTAAAGAATCCCATAGACGCAGCCAAGCATTTAAATGACGACCTTCAAAAAATTTATGAATGGTCAAAGGCTTGGCTGGTTACTTTTACTCCGTCCAAAACAGAATCCATGATATTTTCACGAAAAATAAAACAAGTTAACCATCCCCCAATTCAAATGAATGGAATTCCAATCAAACGTGTACAAAATCACAGACACACACACATCCTGGTGTTACCCTTTCTGAAAATGTTAAATGGGAGACCCATATATCTATAATACTGCGAAAAGCTTGGCAGAGAGTAGGCATCATGAGATCACTGAAATTTCTCTTCATTCGTTCAAGCTTGAAAAGAATGTATATGTATTTTATCCGCCCTATCCTTGAGTACGCCGATGTTACATGGGATAACTCCTCGAAAATATTAAAAATGAAATTGAAGCAGTTCAAAACGAGGCAGCAAGAATAGTAACAGGTGCAACAAAATTATGCAATATAAGTAAATTACTTAACGACCTCGAATGGGTTACCCTGGCCGAAAGGCGTAAACAACATAAACTAGTTTTATTCTTTAAAATGTACAATGGAATTACTCTAAACTATCTCACTGATCTCTTGCCCCAACACAACGAGTCCTACCACCTTAGAAATCACTGACAGGTAAACTCAAGGATACAAATATATGGCTTATCATTTCTTCCTTCTGCAATAAGAGAATGAAACTAACTACCTGTAGATACAAGAAACTCATCTTCTGTTGTTGCCTTTAAACGGTGCCTTAATAAAAACAAAACAAAAGTCTCCCCTTTATTTAATGTAGGTAGTCGTATAGGCCAAATATTGCATGCACGTCTTCGTCTAGATTGTACCTCCCTGAACTTTGACCTTCATAGAAAGTATATTATCCAGTCTCCATTATGTTTATGTGGCGAAATAGAGACAGTGCATTACTTTTTCTTTTCATGCCCTCGTTATGATATCATCAGAAGCATGTATTTACGCCCGCTTCCATGTCCCCTGACACTTAACAATCTCTTGTACGGAGACGAGCGCCTGAGCTTTAACACGAACGAAAAAATCATTCTTAAAGTTCAACAGTTTATCCTAGCTTCCAAACGTTTTACTAGCTAATATCAACTTTTTCTGTCCATCACTTCCCGATTATATTGTGTGCAGACATATATTCTCTATTCTTTATCTAAATTCAAAACTTTATTTAAATATTTTTGTCTCTTTTTTTCTTCGAAACATTCTAAACAAAATCATTTGAAAAAAAAAAACTTACTAAAATTGAATACTAGTTAAAAACAATATTTTACTTTGTAATAGAAATTGTTTGGCGTAATCTCCCAATATTATGAAACAATCTTGAAACAGAAGTTCTCTTATTCTACTACTCTAGATAATAATGTTCTAAAAAAATTATTAATTTTATTTATTCTAACCAAATACGTGCATACTTTTATCGCAAGTACATTATGTGTTGAAAGGAATTTACATAAGTCACATTTGACTTGTTTTCCAATCCACGAACTATATCAGTGTAATTGTATATGCTTACTGTATATATTTATGTTGTAAAATAGAAATAAAATATTGTTTAAACTAAAGCAGGCAGTGCTGTTATGTCGCCACTCTAACCCAAAAACAAACAAAAACGGATCCGCATGACATCCGACAGTAACAGTGATGGACTTAAAATCCACTTATTAAATCCAAAGAAGTATTCAAAATGTGTTGAGAAAAGATTGGTAACATTTAATGATTTAACTGAAATTGTTTTAACTTGTTTTGTGTTTTCTACACAAGTCATGACTAAAGTTTAAATTAATTCGCTTTCATATTAATTGTAAATATTTTTAATGTATGTACTTTTTTTAAAAATGACAAAAATAAATTATCTATACTTTTCAAATGTGTAATGCCAATAGATTCATAAAAATCCTTCTGCACTATTTCCTGTGCGGAGTTACAATTTTGGCAGATTACTGCTTCATTGGAGTTGGGATTTCCACGGGGTATTGATGAATAATGCGCTGGGTAAAATATGGACATGGCGCTCATTCGATGAAATATATATTATAACATTTCGCACAAATATCCTCTTCATAGTATAGGTTGGTAACTTTCATCGAATATATACAAATAAAACATTTAATTAAATCCTCCCCTGACCCCAAGTAAACAGATTTTTACACTTTTGATATCAGTAACGTCATTTTTCTACCAACGCGCATTTCCGCAGGTTTGGGGAGCATCCATGAAAAGTCTAATGAATGATTTTACGAAAACTGTCGAATATTCATGAGACAAGCGTCAAAGGGTGTATATACTAATGTTATTGATATAATATGCCTTTGTGGAACTGCTTGATGCTTTTTCGATAACAGAACAAGGAAAATGTTCGTTTGCATGGCTGTTTACAATCTGTGGCAAGTATTAGCTTTGATAAAATAGTTAATGCGCAGTGCATTTATTTGCGCGGCCGATAGCAAAGAACAACAAATTGAACATAATAAATAAAGGCTAAACAACACTGCAAGATACATTTTAAGAAAACATTATTACACAATTAGTGTAAAGGTTCAATGAACGCAATTATTTGTAGGCATATAAAATCTACAATTCATAATGTAAAAGTACAGAATGTAATTTTATCAGTAATTGTCTTCCATAAAACTACCACCGACCTTATGATGTAAAAATAGATTATGTTTTATCATTTATGATATCTATTATGATCAGAATGATAACACCTAATACATGCCTATTTCATAACAGTTGATGTACATAATGTACAGATAAAGTCAATAACATAACTAAGGTAAAGAACACACCATATTGTGAGTAACGAAATAATAATTTTCAAGTTTTATTTTCGTCATTATATTCGGTTTTATGAAGAATTAAACTCAGAAAACGTGTGTATAATTTGGATATTAAAACATTTAGATAATTGTGCAATGTAATATAATTTTACACCTAAGACAGAAACACCCATTCTTTGTCGTTTCAATTGACAAATATTTAATGTAAATGATAAATACATTCTAAGGGAGTTGAGTTTTTTACTCTTTTAACTAGGTTATGCTATAATAAATATAAGTATTATATTGTTGTATAATATTAATCTTGTTGTAATGAAAATGATTTAATTGAATAAAGTCTCAATACTATGTGCACTGGCATAATGAAAACTTCACTATCAATATGACCTACAATTGTAATTGAAATAGAAAACTGACGATTAACGAAGAAATTTATAGTTTTTGGTTTTCGATATATAAATATAATTCAAACGGTTAACGCAGGACCAGGCTTATACGTATGTTAATTGCATTTTAATGTAATGATTGTACTGCTATTTAATTAATAAGATTTACTTACAAATCGAATATTATTGTAAAAATATTAACTGACCGGCATTTATATAAGCTATAAATCCAATATAAAACACATAGACGCTGTTAAGTCTCTTCATTTTTTTAGTGTAATGTCATACATTCATTCCTACTCTAATAATAAGTTAAAGTTGTGTTTCTTTCAGGAAGTTTAAAATCTTATAGCTACTGGTATACACATTAAACATATCATGTGTTTACTATTGAATAAAGGTGGCATGTATGCACTATTTTTTATTTTATGGCTACAATATTATATCTCCTTCGCTCGACATAATGATTTCTTTACACAGAGATATTGCGTTCGTATCTCCGCTAAAATAATTTCTAGGTACTGCAGAACAAGTATTTTCTACTTATTGCCAAAGATATTGATAACAAAGATAAGCAGCGCCTTTATACTTCATTTATTTCACCCATGCCTATCAAAACAAGTAAAATATTACGCATTTTGTAGCAATGAAAATTTAATGGATATAGATTTAATTCTTTTATACTAAACACCATTTGAAAGTATGTTTATATGTCGCTGTATGTTAAAATGAAGACAGTTTTTTTCGTCATATACATATTTATGTAACAACAAATAACTAGAGATTCCGCAAAACGTGATTCATAACCGTACAATCAACCTTTACTTTTTGAACAATAAGAAGTCTGAAGCAAAATTTGAATCTGACCTATAGTTTATGAAGTTCAATCTATGAACCAATAATTATTTCAAATAGTTGCCTATCTTTTATTTAAAATTACAGTGAATGACCTTGAAACTAAGGGGTACAACAACATTCCTAAACTAGGTACCTTGCTTAGTGCCAAGTGTTACTAGAATTGCCTTTTCAAAACTGTATTTATTGTCTGGAAACGATTTTTTTTTGCGTTTTTAAGTCAGAGTAGCCTTGACCCGAGGGGATCCAAGCGTTATCCCAACCGGTGCCTTTTTGTGCTTGTTACATATCATGCTTGTTAACAGTATCTCAATCCTAACTGTAGTATTTTCTGGAAACCATTTCCTCTATTTTAAGTAACTTGGCCTGGATTGACCCCAGGGGGGGGGGGTGTTAAAGCAAAATCACCCGAGATTTGATATCTGTTTGATGTGTACCGATTTTGATTACAATGTCTAATTTCTATCAATTGTTTTGGAACGGAAACCGTTTTTCTATTTGAAGTATTAGCGACACTGACCAGCGACACTGACCTTGGCCAAAGAGAGTTGAAAAGCAATAGCTACTGAAGTTTTCATATTGGCTTCTTAAACATTAAAATTGATTACAGTATCTCATTCCTAACTCTAGTTATTGTCCTGAACGTATTTTACTATTTTTAGTAACAGTGACATTGACTTGATCCAAAGCTCAAAGGCACTTTCAAACGGGGTCTTTTTATAAGCTCGCTATACTTAGATTACAATATTATTTCGTTTATTTATGATTCACGTTTATTACTTGCCAAATAAATTAACTTAGTTTTATTATTCAGCAGTTGATCACAATTTGAATTCTCTAGGTATTTGAATGTATTTATGATTTTGATGATGTATTTATGATCTATAGTAAACATAATTAAATCTGGATGAGAAAGGTTTTTGCCGATGTTTATTTGTGTTAAACTGGTTTTACACTTCTATTGAGGGTTATACCGATTATCTAATATGAGGGGTCAGCAAACTAGATATTATTGTGCAATATCAGTTATTGATTTTACAAATACCTGTTTAAGCCTAAGGCAGAATATAAAAATTGTTTTGTTATTTAAGTGTCGTTTTTGGGTGTCAAGATTTTAAGATTCATTTTTTTATTGGTAAAAACATTTCACAATGTCCATCGCCATGTTTAACGGTTTAATAAACAAATATTGAGAAAAGTATGTACATAATGATAATACAATAATTATAAAATAATTTATAGATAGATTAATATATCAACATTTTGATATATTAACCAAACATGCAAAGTTTCTATCCTTCCACTCTCTATCCAAAGTTCAAAAACATTAGCTAAATGTATAGAAAATAAATATGAGACAAATACATACATATTATACAGTTATTGTAAGGACTAGTGAAGGGTACATTGCAGCATAATAATAATAATAATAATAATAATAATAATTTCTAACAGCTTTTTAATCTTATGTGCCTTACCAAGACATGCTATCCGATAAAAAGCATGTCAAAAATAGCAACGTGACATGTACAGGTACCTCTTTTCCGAGACAAAATAAAAAGAGTACCATTACACGAAACGTTAAGTTATCACTTTGAATGACAATATACGTGAATGACAATAAATCAGTTTGGTTTGTGTTACCTAGTACCAATTCAGTTTACATTAAGGTGATTCAGCTTTGTCAGCCATGTTTGTTTTCTCTAAGTGGGTCTAAAGTGAAAGTAGGCAAAAATTCATATACCAACAAAACAAAACTCAAATTGTGCCAATGTTAAACCATTTGCAATTACATTTCCAGGTCTATGTTTTAAGTGGTATTATGAACAAAAATAAAAACAATAACAATAAGAATATTTACCTTGAATGTGCTTAATAATTATTTCTGAAGTCCACAAGTCTAAGCACATGTCCTCCATTATTGTTTGTAAAAAAAGGCTAGAAGGCCATCACCATTTATAGACTTATGAACTGCAATTAAAAGGAAAACAGGATTCAAATTATAAATTAACCATTCTTTTGTGTGACAGTGAAGTGTGTCTGGCTATCATGTTAACAAGAAGAAGAGAAAAGATGTTTATATCTCTGGTACTACTTTTTTACACAGCTTGGAGGCCATGTTTTTTATCAAAGTCAGATAAACTACTTCCTTACATTCATTTAAGTTTGGTTTGCATTTCCTGCAAAAAATAGCTTTTGTCTGCACTAAAATAGACCTTAAACTGGATTTTGCCATTCATGAAATGTGCATTAAACTATGCAACAGACTGTACGTGGTCTTCAGGAATTTAGCATATTCAAGGTAAATATTCTGCTTGTTATTGTTTTTATTTTTGTTTATAATAGTCCTTAAAACATAAACCTGTTAGTGCAATTGCAAATATTTCATCATTTTACAAGTGAGCAATGCTGTCATATGAATTTTGGCCTACTTTCACTTTGGACCCACTTAGCGAAAAGAAACAAGGCTGACAATGTGGAATCACTTTAACAAACTATATACATACATAAAAAAATCATGACATTAATTTTGTTAAAGTGTGTAAAGCTATATATCTGCTGCAAGAATATAAGTTTATATTTGGAAAAAGGAGAATACTTCCAAAATGTTTGTATGAAGAAAAATTTTAGTAAATATTATTATAAGTTGATAAATAATGTAGAGATTATATCTTTATACCCTTTAAATGAACAAACCTGTATGTTATCCTATAATTGTTAAATCATATACCTTATATTTAATTTCATAGTACGTATTTTATTTGATTATTTGATGTTAAATATAGTAACCAACGCATGTTTATTAGACATACATTTTTAAATAAAATTGTCAACTTTTGTTTTTGACCCCCTTCCGCGTAGCGGAAAATTGGGTTATAGGCATGGCCTCCGTCTGTCAGTCCATCCGTCTGTCCGTCTGTTCAAGCTAACATATTAGATTTATGAGCTTCATTCCGTAGTTGAATAAAGAACAAAAACTCATAAAATTCACATTGTGATCATTTTTGTTTTGTTTTTATGAGCTTATGGACTTATATCCGGGTGTAAATGAGCTAATTTGCCTCTTGAATATCAAATATTGGTACGTTCGTCCGTCTGTCAGTCCGAAACACTCGTGTCCGCTCTAAAAATTTAAACCGCTAAAAAATGTTTTGAAATAATTTGGCACAAGTGATCACCATAATGAGACTACGATGTGCAGAGCGCAATAATTTGGTTGTACCCCCATTGTCAATGTCACACTTAAAGGTCAAATGTTAAAAAGTCTTCATTTTATAATCAATAGTCTACATTTCGTGTCCGCTCCATAATTTTTAAACTGCTGAAAGTTTTTGAACTAACTTGGCACAAGTGAGCACCATAATGAGACGATGTGCAGAGCTCAATAAATTGGTTGCTACCCCAAAGGTCAATGTCACACGTTTAGGTCAAATGTTAAAAACTCCGCTCCAGAACTTTTTAACCATTGATTTTTTTTTTTTGAAAATAACTTTGCACAATTGATCACCATTATAAGAAAATGTGCTGTGCGCAATAATTGGATGGCGTCCCCAAGGTCAAAATCACATTTAAAGATCAAATATATATTTATAGTCTACATTTCGTGTTCCTTCTATAACTTTTAAACATCTGAATTGTTTTGAATACCTTGGCACAAGTGATCACCATCACAGGACGAATTGAAGAGCGCATTAATTGAATTGCTACACCCAAGGTCAAGGTCATACTTACAGGTCAAATGTAAGAAAGTCTTCATTTCGTGTCTGTCCATAACATTTTAACTACTGCAGTGTTTTTAAGATAAATTGGCAGAAATGATCAGCATTATGAGACCAGTGGCAGAACAGAATAATCTACGAAAGACCGGTAGAGCCATATCAACTTCATGAATTCCTGACTTCATCTTCAAGAATTTACATTTTTAACTTCGTCAATTCATGTTCTCAACATACGGAATTCACGAATTCACGATTTCAGCTTCGTGAAAGTCGCGATTTCAACTTCACAAATTCACGATTTCAACTTCATGAATTCACCTTCGTAAATTCACGATTTCAACTTCAGGAATTCACGATTTCCACTTCATGAATTCACGATTTCAACTTCATGAATTCACGATTTTAACTTCATGAATTCAACTTCGTGAATTCACGATTTCAACTTCATGAATTTACGATTTCAACTTCGTGAATTCACGATTTCAACTTCATGAATGCACGATTTCAACTTCACGAATTCACGATTTCAACTTTATGAATTCAAAATTTCAACTTCACGAATTCAACTTCGTGAATTCACGGTTTCAGCTTCAAGAAATCATGATTTCATCTTCATGAATTCACGATTTCAACTTCATGAATTCACGATTTCAACTTCGTGAATTCACGATTTCAACTTCATGAATATACGATTTCAACTTCACGAATTCACGATTTTAACTTCATGAATTCAAAATTTCAACTTCACGAATTCAACTTCGTG